CACGTCTTATCCCGATGCGGCACTAGTGGTGTTTACCGCACGGCTAGCGCGACGCTCGACCCTTTTTCCACACAACATTCGGTCCCTCACCGCTGCCGCCGTCTTTCCACCCTCCACTCTCCACTCTCCACTCTCCACGATTCTTCGACAACTGCAGACACAGCTCTCCCGCCCCAGCTTGCCTGATACCTGATATCTCTCTGCTCTCAGACAGCCTTTATCCAACACCAACGACAGAATCATTCAACATGCGCGAAATCGTACGTTTGAGCCCCGACTTGCTCTGTTTTTCGACGCGTCTCCTGTTGCCCCGCGTTCCAGGCACACCACCAAACACACCACCAACACAAGAGACATTGGATGCTAACATGAACTTTTCGCCTCCAGGTTCACCTCCAGACCGGCCAATGCGTAAGTGTTATCCAGACAAACGCCACAGCAGATTGATTTACTGACTTGAAATAGGGTAACCAAATCGGTGCTGCCTTCTGGTTCGCTCTTCCAAAACTGGACTGGACGAGCACCAGCTGACGACCAACAGGCAGAACATCTCCGGCGAGCATGGCCTCGACGGCTCTGGCATGTAAGCATGGCATCGACCTCACCCTATTACCGACCGTTGGCTCACATGAAACAGTTACAACGGCACCTCAGACCTCCAGCTCGAGCGGATGAGCGTCTACTTCAATGAGGTACAACTACCAATACAAACGGACTGGGGCTCGGGATACTGACCCGTGGCAGGCATCTGGCAACAAGTTCGTTCCCCGTGCCGTTCTCGTTGACTTGGAGCCGGGCACCATGGACGCAGTCCGCGCGGGTCCCTTCGGCCAGCTCTTCCGTCCCGACAACTTCGTCTTCGGCCAGTCAGGTGCCGGCAACAACTGGGCCAAGGGTCACTACACTGAGGGCGCCGAGCTCGTGGACCAGGTCTTGGATGTTGTCCGTCGTGAGGCCGAGGGCTGCGACTGCCTTCAGGGCTTCCAGATCACCCACTCCCTTGGTGGTGGCACCGGTGCCGGTATGGGCACACTCTTGATCTCCAAGATTCGCGAGGAGTTCCCGGACCGAATGATGGCGACCTTCTCCGTTGTTCCTTCACCCAAGGTTTCGGACACTGTTGTCGAGCCGTACAACGCCACGCTCTCCGTGCATCAGCTCGTCGAGAACTCAGACGAGACCTTCTGCATTGACAACGAGGTATGTAGCCAGATCCGTTTCGTCTCTAGAGACCAGAACTGACATGGCTAGGCTCTGTACGACATCTGCATGCGAACACTGAAGCTCAACAACCCGTCCTACGGCGATCTCAACCACCTCGTCTCCGCCGTCATGTCCGGCATTACCACCTGCCTTCGTTTCCCTGGCCAGCTCAACTCCGATCTCCGAAAGCTTGCCGTCAACATGGTGCCATTCCCGCGTCTGCACTTCTTCATGGTTGGCTTCGCTCCTCTCACCAGCCGTGGCGCGCACACCTTCCGTGCCGTCACTGTTCCAGAGTTGACCCAGCAAATGTTCGACCCGAAGAACATGATGGCCGCTTCTGACTTCCGCAACGGCCGCTACCTCACCTGCTCTGCCATCTTGTAAGTTGATCCACTACATCGGCTTATCTCCTTGACATTAAGCTAACTGTTCCCCTAGCCGTGGCAAGGTCTCCATGAAGGAAGTTGAGGACCAGATGCGCAACGTACAGAACAAGAACTCCTCCTACTTCGTCGAGTGGATCCCGAACAACGTCCAGACCGCTCTCTGCTCCATCCCGCCACGCGGCCTCAAGATGTCCTCGACCTTTGTCGGCAACTCGACCTCCATCCAGGAGCTCTTCAAGCGCGTCGGTGACCAGTTCACCGCCATGTTCCGTCGCAAGGCTTTCTTGCATTGGTATACCGGCGAGGGTATGGATGAGATGGAGTTCACGGAGGCTGAGAGCAACATGAACGATTTGGTGTCTGAGTACCAGCAGTACCAGGAGGCTTCGATCTCTGAGGGTGAGGAGGAGTACGACGAGGAGGCTCCTGTTGAGGGCGAGGAGTAAGCTTTGTAACCAGCGGCGCGTCCTGATGGCGGGAGCTGCTCCTCGTCCTATCTTGGCGTGTAGGGTGCATTGCTCGGTCGGCGCTAGTGTTTGGAGAATTCATAATAATGCGCCGATGTTCTCGCGTTTGATGCAGCTTGGTGTTTATACTGGCGAAAAACTGCCATGCACATGCTTCAGCACCTACTAATCTACTCTCAACAGTGGTTTTCATTGGTGTGAATCTGCGCCTGATATAAGGCACTGAAAGGACAAGCAATCTTTTCTATCCCAAGCTCCAGGCAGTTGAATACCCCCACCGACGCCGCCGCTATGTTGAACCGCGATTGCGCATGCATCATCACCAAGCCGTATCCACCTCCTCTAGGCCATCGACCTATCCGTCTTCTTCACCAGCCTGCCCCTTCCCACATCCGCACCATTCCACGCTACGACGTCTTCTTTCCCCTCTCCCTCTCCCGTTTCCTATATATCTCCGCAGTGAACGGATCCTCAAACCTCAACGCAACCCTATAAGCCGCCCACACCAACCCCGTCAACAGTATCCCCGCGGGCTTCCCGAACCAGAGCGCAGTGCCCAGGAACGAGAGCGCGGAGCCGTCGTACATGGGCGAGCTAGTAACGTTGAACGGGAAGCCCGTCACCATCTCGTCCATCAGGATCCCGAAGTAGTCCCCCAGGTAGGTGCCCGTGATGCCGAGGGCGTACATGGAGGTTAGCACGAGGATGTTGCCGGATGCGATCAGGCCGATCGAGGCGGCGGTTATCCAGGGGGCGAGGAGGGCGGGGTGCGTGGGTTGGTGGCGGAGGGCGCGTTCGTAGCTAGGGCATGAGGTCAGGTGGCTGCTAGACAAGCGGTGGTGGACGGGTTTGGGGGGCGGAAGGGTAGCGTACATGGCATCGCGGATGATGCCGAGGGTGAAGATTGTGACGGCGAGCGCGTAGCAGCCGTAGAGGGAGTTGCCGCGGAAGAGCTTGGTTATGACTTTGTTGTGGTATTCTAGGGGTTGGGCTGGTCAGTCGCTGCCTGTGTTGGAGAAGGAGGCTGCGTGCGGCGCGTGGGTGGAGGATGTGGGCACGAGACGTGCTTACCTTGTCGAGCAGCGATGCTGTAAGGGCCCATTAGCATTGGGTGCAATATCAGTAGCTAGAGAGTGTCGCCTTACTTCCAGAAGGTGGGATTGAACCCAATTGAAGCTGCGGATACTGCGACGCGACCATGTCAGTTCCGGTGGAGATTATGACGGTGTTTTAAGCGTACACCACAAGCTTGGTTGGCTAAAGTCTACTAAGCCCGCCATGTTCAAGTTGCGCGGTCAATTGAAAAAGGACGGGTGTCAGGAGCTCGTTGGTGGGGCAAGTTTACAGATCTGTAGCCAAGGCGGCGGTGGAGGAGGGGACGAAGCGAGCTCGACGTCACAGCAAACCCCTCGAGGCACAATCTCACATCAAGACACAAATCCTTGCCTGGATCAGATCAAGGGACTGAGATGACAGATGCCGTCTGTTTCGCTGGTCTTGTATTATAAGCCAGCAAGAAATCTAGTGGTCCGTTCAGTCTGATCTCGTATATCTATGGCTACAGCAACGTCGCTCTGACTTTACTTCCCTCTATGCCAATCACACTCATCAGATGCCATTCGACGCGCAAGTGAACGGTCCACCAAAGCTTGATTGCTCGTAGCCATGGACAATACTTCGGACGGAAGCCTGGGAGATGCACCGTTAGCAAATCAGGGTACTGCAGCCGCAACATTCCAGATACTCACATAAGTGCCACCAGTAAGAAACAACAATCCGATCGCGATCAGGGACAGGTTCATGCCAACTCCAAGCACGCCTCTCCAGCCCCGGACTCTCCAGAACCTCGGGCCGTGTTCAGCTCGTCTCATCCTAATGTACGCGGTACCCCAGAAGATGAACCCGAAGAAGGAGTCGAAGAGCGAGCTCATTAACGACAGGAGGTCTGAGAAGAATGGGATCACTCCCGCGATGATGAAGGCCGCAGTCCAGGTCGCGGCCAGGATTGCTGCCCAGCTGGCCCAACCGATAAGAGTGTGGTTCCCGTAGTGACGCGTCCCGGTGAAGATGTTGAAGTAGATGAAGCGTGCCGAGACCGAGGCGTACAGGACCCCCAGAAATATTATTGTCGGAATCATGAACGAGAACGACACTTTCTTGTGAACCTCGTTGCTAAGTGAGCCGAATGCTGGAGTCGTAATGTAGTTGGTGCCGGTCTGGGAATAGATGACCGCCCCGACCACAGAGAAGACCACAACCTCTGCAGTCGTTACCGCCCAGAGGGCCTTGGGAAAGTCACGAGGGTCTTTCATCTCGGCTATGAAGCTGGGGACGGTGATTTGCCCGATGAAGGTGTAGCTGATGTTCATGAAAGCGTTCATCCCAGCGACAAAGCCGGTGCCTGCGGCAGGTACAAGCAGCACCTTTGGAGGCGTACCAGCGTAGCCGTTGGGGCGATCTTCGATGACGGCGAAGACCGTTGCAAGGATCACTGAAACGAATGTAAAAAACGCAGAAGCAGTCGCAACCTTTGCCAAGGTCGAGAACGTGCGCGGCAGGGAGCAAAAGAATGAGATAGCAGCGAGTATGGCTGAAAAGCCAATCGTGCACATGCCGTGGTTAGAGATGGTGTTGAGATAGTTTGATCCGACGAGACAGTGTAAGCCCTGATCGCGATCAGCATCTCAACAAAAGCTCGCCCAGTGGGGTTCTACGTACCTGAATGAACGTGTTGTTAAGTAAGAACATTGCTGCGGTCAAGTACCAAGCCCAGTTTTTGCCCCAGAAAAGTATCTTTCCAATGTCGCAGACATCTTTAACATCCGGGTGCCGAAGACAAAACTCCCTGCGAGCGTGAGCGGCGTACATTAGAGATTAACGAAAATGCTTACCATACGATCAAGGAAGTGTATAGGACCAGCGCAGCAACAACGATAGTCAAGATCAGTCCTGGAACCAGGCCTAGAACTGAGTACGACCATGGAAATGACATGATGGCCAAGCATATATACTCGGAAAACAGTAGTGCTGCAGTCTAACAGCGATCTGTTAGCTGCTGAAAGGTTGAGAGCTCTCTGTTCTTCTTGCGAATCAGTCGAGGGGAGTGTATCATGCCTTCTGCCAGCTGCACGTCCGGTACCTGATCGAATTGTTGGCCTCTAGTGCAATCTGTTTGCCGATGGTGAGACTGCTGTCGGTATCCGACTCGAGAGGCTTGTCGATCCGGCTCATCCGCCGCCCACCCCGAGCTTCCACGTCATCGCTGTCGGACCCTGATACATGAGAACTTGCAAGCGCGGGATTTAGGGCTACAACAGTAGATATGGGAGGTGTGTCGGCCGCGAGGTCCGGTTTTTCGACCTTCAACGCCATTTTATGGCCCGGATGCACCGTATAAACGGGGTACGATAGAAGGGAATGCGGGAAACAGAGGCCGGCAGCATTAACCACAGTTTGTTCTATTGAAGAATTGAAGAAGCGTGCAGCGAAGTCTACCGCTCGTCTACGGGTTGTACTTGATACTCGACAACGGTGTGCTGCACTTAGAAGCGTCGATTAGGATTTGATGATGGAAAAGCAAGGTAGGAATGAAAATTGACAAACGGAGAAAGTGCGGTGCAAGTTTTGTTTATACTGTAAGCGCAGACAGCTGTTCGCCGGAGTAATCCGAACGTCAGCCTTGGTGGAGCAGATGGGCAAGATAACGTTCTCTCCCAGGGGTAGGGCCCCGAATGGCGTGATGCCAGGTACGTCCTTTCACCTAAGACAAACTTTGCTCTGCGGTTAAAGCACGTATTCTATTTTGCTAACCGGAAAGGAAGGTGCCGGTCTTCGAGTTATCCATTCCCCAACCACTGGTCGTAGAAAGCCAGCGTGCTTGCCGACGTCAGCACCTTGGTTACGACATCAATGCTTACTCCAGCGGCGGCTTTCAAGGACAGTACTGCTTATGGCACAGCACTGCGATAGCTCGCTAGGCTGTGATGAAGCGGGCGGAGACCATGGTCCCAGTTGCTGCTTGGTACGCGCTTCCTGCTGCTTTCACGAGATGCAACACCTGTACGATCTGGCTGACTGCGGCCGATATGGCTCCCCTGCACAGGGCCGAACTCTTCTCACCCGGACGCTGAGTTCATTCTTACTAAGGCTGTCGATGTAATCTATGCTGCTACCCAAAAGGAGGTGCTGTCCTCTGGTTGAGGAAGATGCAGTCCGTGGTGCGGGAAACACGGTCCGTGTGCTGGTTGGCGGCTCCTCGGTTGTGGCGTCGTACAAGCTCAACTTGGCCATGGTTAAGCCATTCTCGGCCGAGCTTGGATCTCCACACACGCCCCACTTCAACATCTGAACTCTTTCCGTATATTACTAGATATCCTCCACTCACAGGCGAGCTATAGTTCTCTCCTCCACCTTGATCCACCAACCGAATAACGTACCAGGGTCATTACATGCTGATGTGAGGTGCTCTCATCATTCTTCAGGAGAATGCAGCCTTCAAAGGACATGATAGATGTCAAGCCTTCATAGCTTTACCGTAAGCCTAGTGATCCTCTGCACTTTAGAGCCCTTCTCCCGGTTATCCGGTACCCAGTGCCTGAGGAATGCTGCGAAGTGGACTTTGGGCAAATGAAAAACCTTGAACTGAGGGGTTAGCAGCGATGCTAGTGTCACGTATTCAATCCGAGTCCTCATCGCAGACGCCATGCAGCTCATATGGATGAGTCTGCTTCCTCTGAGATAACTTCTAGCTTCTGGTATTGAGCGCTATACACACGAAATTTCCTACTCAGTCACCGGCGCTGACATAACGCCTCTCCCAAACCACTCACTCACCGTCCCGAACTTATCCCTACTCCTCTGCAGTGCGTCAAGAAACATGTCATGCCGGCTAGCGCTTTCATCCTGGGCGTTCTTGATGGCGCGAATGGTCGCATTCTGCGGCGCACAAATAGGACATTCCAGGCTCTCCTCGTCGTCCTCCTCCGCAGCGTTGAGGCAGCGCTGGTGGAACGAGTGCTTGCACAGGAAGTGCACTGTTGGAAGGTCAAGCGTGGCACCACATGCGGAGCAACGCGTTGCGGTAAACGCTGCGGGTTTAGTCCCGAGCTCGACAATCTCTTTGCGCTTGGTATCGGTGTCGGCGCGGAAGGTTTGGATGAGGCGGCGGTTCTGCGTAAGGGATCAGGTGGGCTGAAACAAACAAGAATGAAGGACTTACGTTGGAGATCTCCTGTCGCTCACGCTCTATGGTGGTGCTGAGATACCTCTTGATCATGCCCATAGTGGCGACGCCGTTCGTACTCAGGGTCTGGATGACCTGCAAAGGCGCCATTAGACCGTCCTCATCAATCTTTCGGAGGACAACATCAAGCTCATCGCCAGCTTCTTCGATGATAGCCGGGCTTGACGTGAAGTATGCCAGCGCCGCTGGATACAGCTGAGGCTCCTCGGGCCCATACTTGCGCAGCGCCTTGATAGCGCCTGCTGTATCCTTTGCTGAGGTGTACGAGCGGAAGATGTCGAACCGCAGGCCCTGCTGCTCCCGGACAAGTGTTGTGCCATCCCTGAAATTCGTCAGGTGTGACAAGAGCAGCACGTTCGACGTGTCGATGGGTATCTGCAAGTTTCAGTGGCTGATCGATTGTGGAAGTGGATATTCACGCCTACGTTCTTGCTTTCCACCAAGCTCTTCGCTTTAGCCTCCCATTCTTCCCTCTCACCATTTTTCTTGCTGCTTGAGGTGTGAAGATACATCTCGAACAGTGTAGTGTACAGGTCGCTTTTGTCATTCTCGCTCAGCTCATCGGAGTTGATGCATGCTTCCAGGAACGTTACAAATTCCTCGGGATGGTCAACGAATGCCGAAAAGGCCGTCCGTGGTCTAGGAATAGTATACTCCGCTGGCGGTTCGTTTGTGTCGGTTTCAATGATCTGCGCCTGGCTGAGGGTCGTTTTCTGATCGACACCAGCACTAGGCGACTGAAGAATGTTCGTGTTCATGTAGGGGAGTGGCAGCAGAGCTGCGAGGTTCTGGACAGCTGTTGATGCTATGGTAAAGCCGGGTATGCCCTGAGATGTAGGAACGTCATGCACGACGACTGCGTCCTTCTTTGGACGGTATTGTCCGGTGTAATAATCGATGAAGAGTTGCGTTGTGTCCTTCGAACAATGCTCCAGCAGCACGGTAGCGTACTTCATCAGGTTTCGATAGGCCTACGGAATTTAAGCATTTCATTTATCGGAGGGAATTGGATACAGCTTACACTGTCAGGTTCCAGACGCCAGATGTATGCCAATGCCTCAGCGTACCGTTTGGAATCCTCGATCAATATGTCCACCACTAGGTCATGCTCGTTGTGTTTGCGAGCCAGGTACGCGGCTTGATCATGGTATCCACCTTGGCGGCACATGGTTATAGCTGTGTCCAGATCAAACTTGAGGTCGCCGGGAGATTTGATGAAATTCTCTAGCTTTTCGACATCTTTGAGCTTGGCGTAGCAATTAAGAAGAAGGGTCGTGTGGTCGGATGTCGCCTTGTGGTGGTCGTGCAGTTCCTCGAGATATTCGATAAGATTATGTATCCGTTGGGTATCCAAAAACTGCGTGAGTGATAAGCCCAAGGGTTCACGGCTACGACAGACTGTTACTGATGGATACCTTTCTGATGATTTGTGATGGCTCGGTGTTGTCGATCGCCTTTAGGTACTGCTGCATCGCTGTATCGTACTCGCCTTTTAGGTAGAGATAGTCGCCATACTTGCGCAGTATCACATTGAGTTGTGCTGCATCAACCCCAGCCTTCTGTGCAAGAGTGATTGCTAGGACGTACAGGTTGCGTTGGTACAATAGTTCAAGTTTTTGTTGGAGAGATTTTTCATGGTACCGAAAGAGCTATGGCGGTCAATGATGCGGCCCGCTGAGGGAAGTAGAACATGCTTACTTTGCCGTCCAAGGTTAGCACGAACAGGTCTCCCCATTCGGAGAACACAAAGTTAACCTGAGAGCTCAAAGCCTCTTGGTGGGCAATGAGCTTCAGGTCGGTGTCAAGAAGGGTGAAGTTTGAGATGTTGAAGATGTCATCCGCTTGACTACTACCAAACGCCCGAAGAGAGGTGGACCGAGCTACGGCGTTGGCCTTTGGAGGAGACACTAGCGCAACGTAGTCTTTGAAGACAGTGATCATCTTCTTCGGTCCTTCGTAGGCGTACACCGGACCTCTTCCATGGACTCCGTACGTGTACACCGCCTCGTCACGAGCGATGATCACATCCTGAGTAGCTTTGTCGATAGTCATGCACCCGACCCCGCAGCCAGTCTCATCTAACGACCGCGCAGGCTGACCTTGACCTCGGCCAGAGATGACCAGCGTTGAGATACGTCCGGTAGTCGCAATGTACAGCGTCGTGATGTTTCCCACCCTGAACTCGATGCCCGTTATAGGTTCGTCGGACTCGAACACTGTACGCTGCCTTGCGCCACGATCATGGATGAGGTCACCTCGTATCACGGTGACGGCGCCATTTGCGAAACCTACAGCTAGCTGGGAGAGGTCGTCGAGCGCAGCGAATGCGGATATCTCGGGGAATCAGAATCCGTAGCCCTTGCCTGGTCGTAGAGTACTCACAGGAAACTGCTTCCTCCCGTTATGAATGCTAAGCGTGCTGATGCACCTCGGAATGCCAGTCTTCTTCTCCAGCTTGTCCAAAGCCCACAGCTTCAAGACCGGTTCGTTTGAGAGGTCTTCTGCGACGGTGACCAGCAGTGATGTGCCCTGGACCTGCCTCATGTGGGTGACGGAGCCCAGCTGGTAGGCTTTGAACGAGCGCATGACCTTGAAGGCCCGGGAGAGGACCCGGACAAGGCCATCGGAGCTGCCGAAGCAGACATTGTCGGAGCCGGTGGCGACAGAGGTTATGCTGCCTTGCTGAGAGCGGTCAATAAAATGCTGGCGGAGGAGGCTGGGCGTTGTACTTGGAGGATGGCCGAACGCTCTTCATCGGCGAGCTTTACCTCGGAGACGTCGAAGAACTTGAATGCTTTCCACTGGGCAGTAGGTTAGCCGGTGGGCCTCACGGGGCAAATGCAAGGCAAATGCAAGACACTTGCCGACGTCAAGGCCATTTTCACCGAGCCATTGCGAGCAACAGTTCCGTATAAAAACACTACAAGTACTCTAAGTATCCTAGACACAAGTCCCCGGGCAGCTTCAACTGCGTGGCGCTCGAGCTACCTAGGTATCTACTAGATAGCTATGGCTCTGCCCTGTCACGTGCAAGGGCCACCCGCTGGGGTGAAACGCGCCCGTGCCGCGGGCTGCTTATGTCATCCAGCGCTAAGCTCATTCCAACGGCCAAACGCTCCTGTCCGCTGCGTCGCGTTCCTTTTTCAACTTCACCTAACCAGCAACCACCGCAATCCATCTATCTCTCAACCCACTGCATCTGTCGCGCATCCGACACCGGCAAGCATATCATACATCTCCCATTCGGCTCGACACAGCCGGGCATTCTGAGCGCTCCTTTCCTCTCCGTCTGCCAGCTCCGTCACTGCCCGCGACTCAGCGTTCTGAACAGGCAACTGCACAACGCGCTTCATCTTACCGTGGGCCGTCTTCCGAACCTCACTCAAGCCTTCCCGCAGTAAAGACCGGCAAAGCGCGCGTAGTTCCTTGCGCGACTCCTTGCTGGCCGCCTGCACCTGCGAGCAAGACCAGGCTGCTCGCTCGCTAGAACACGCGAGTCGACATCACTCTGCCAAGCCACAGCCGAATCAACACCAGAGAACCCTCTCAACAAACGACACGAACAATGGCTGGCAAGTTGGATCAGTCTCTTGACGAGATTCTCAAGGGCCGCCGTCAATCTGCGCGTCATCCACGCCCACGTCGCGCAGCAACCGGCCCGAAGGCCACTGCACCCGCTGCCGCTCCTGTTGGGGGCGTCAAGAAGATAGTCCGCTCCACTAAGCCTGCTGGCAAAGCAGCCGTACCGACTGGACCATCCGGCGCTGGCGAAAGCAAAATCATCGTCAGCAACCTCGTAAGCTCTGCGCCGTATTAAATGCCTGGTGTACATCGACCTAACAGCCTCCAGCCTACGGATGTCAACGAGACGCAGATCAAGGTACGTTGAACGCGAAGGCCGCTGAGCTTTGGATATCGTGGCCATTTTTTCCAAATGGACGAGAGTCGCGGAACTATGCCAGTTCGATCGCTGTCGGGATTTCTTAGTGGCGCAAGCGCATATTTCTGGCTATACGTGCGTCCCCACGTTGACAACGATCTCTCTCCTTGTTCTTGCTCGCTTATATAAAGCCTGATGCAGAACACCGCGAGATTGAGATAATGTCTAGGTCCTGCAAGAAGCCTGTTTCTGTTTCGAGATTGCCTGGCAAGCACATCATCGCAGACAAGGCGTAGTTGACCGCAAACCGTTGCCGAGCATGGTTTTCTATTCTGATGGAGCGGTTGAGATTATTCCAACGCCGCGTGGAGGCAGCCTTTACCAGCGAGCGTAGCAGTGAGCAGAGCAGGGTGATTCATCGACATTCAGTCTCCGGGATGCAGCACATCCGACTCCTTCGGTGTACCACCGCGCCAACAGATACCAGGTCTGCCATCTCGTCATCCGCTCATGTGGCCCGAGGAGTTCCGCGGATCACTGGTAGCACTGGACTACCCTCTCCGGATCACGACAGAGTCCTAGTTTGGAGACGACGCCTTGGCTGTGAGTCACAATAGACACTCGACATCTCTGTTGCAGTTCTATCGCTCTCTATGCGTTCACTAGGCACTGGCTGTTGCCTGGATCTGATGAGACGCTGCGGTACGGCCAACGCTCGATGTAGAAAGAAGAGCATGGAGGTTAAGACATTGCAGGGACGGCTACATCGAGCAGAGTCGGCTCCATGGGCTGTGCTGACGCGACACCGCTAATTCATACTGCCCATCCGATTCCAAGAACCTGGACACCCCGCGCCCAACCATGGCGTTTGTAACTTGGCTAACCTCACTGCTCGCTCGCTGGTAACTGCTGTGCCAAACGTGTTCTGATGTTCCACGGATTCGAAGTAGCCTTGTCGCTCGGTTCACGTTCACTATCTCTCTACGCGCTCGGGCTCTATAGCTAGCAACGTCTCTCGCCATTATTTACGCTAACACGATCCGCTTCGTCTCTTTAGGACTATTTCGGCAAAACAATAGGTCCGGTCAAGAAGGTTCTACTCACTTACGGCCCGAATGGTCAAAGCCGTGGTGTGGCCACGATCATCTTCTCGAAGTCCAGCGATGCGGCAAAGGCCGCGCAACAGCTGAATGGCATCAAGGTCGACAACCGGCCCATGAAGGTCAGAATCGTCGCGGCCCATTGCTTGTGGTCTTGCTAAATCGGCATAGATCGAGGTCGTGCTCGGTGCCAAAGACGTACCACCTCCGGCACCGGCGAAGGGCTTGAACGAACGAATCTCTCAGCCGAAGCCAGCCGCAAAGGCTCAACCGAAACCTGCTACCGCCACGAAGGCGACGGCGAGCAAAGCTGCGACCCGGGGCAGGGCACGTCGTGGCCGCAACGCAGGACGAGCCAAGCCTAAGACTGCGGAGGAGCTTGATGCTGAGATGCAAGATTACTTCGATGGAGGTGCCACCGGCCAGACCACCGACGCCCCAATGGAGACGAACGGTGGTGCTGTCCAACCCGCCGTCAACGGAGGAGATGCTATGGAGGATGAGATCTTGGTACGGAATGACTCTGACCTTTCAGAGGAGAGTTATGCTAACATCTATCTCTGGCAGTAACCGCTTCGGTGCCCGTATGACCAGCAATGCCATCCTGCTGCCAAATTGCAAAGCTAGATGAAGGAGAGAGGTTTCTTTTTTTTTTGACATGCCATTCTTTTCTGCGATGTATTACATAGAAATCTACAGTCTGGCGGCAGCAGGCTGGCGCTCATGGCCGAAACTCGGGGCGTGGCAGTCGCTCGGGCGAGCCTTGGGGCTGCTTCTCTTCTCTCTCACTCGGGTTGTATTACAGATTGCCCGGCCCAGCTTGCCATCACAATGCACACTTGTTTCTATTCTTGTTGACTGAGCAGACTACTGCACGCTTGTGATGGCCACGTTCACGGACGCTTTTGGCCCGAAGCCTGGGCGCCCCTTCGGATGAGCGCGTCCATTGACCCACGTAAAAGCATCCCAGAGTGGTGGATTGGTTCAGAGATTGGTCGGTTGTGGGGCGCTTGGAGGGGGACTTCGGTTGTGCGGAGAGGAGAACTCCATCCCAAAGGGCAACAGATGATCGTCTCCCCAAGCCACCGAGCCACAGCACTGGCGCTTGCAGCAGAGAGGGATTTGTAAGTCCCTTGTCTGCAACGCGCGTGTACACGTTGCGCTCGCTCGAAGGGAAAGCCGGTCGTAAGGCATCGGCGGTTTCGCAGATGCGAAGGGACTGAGGACGAGCTGCTGTCTGCCACCTGCAAGCTGGAGCACGGAAGAACCTGAAGGCTAAGCTAACATCACGACGACAGCCTTGGAGGCATCGTGTTTTGCTGCTTAGCAATAGAGAATGCCGAAGCCACGACACAGCACCAGACGTGCATTGTACCGGTACCTCGTTCGATGGGCCTGGAAGCTCTTGCATTTGAGTGCAGCCCTTCTGGACGGCCGGGTTGGCGTAGGCTGCTGGGGGAGAGCGGGGTAGCAAGATGCGACATTGGCTCTGCCCCGCCAGTGCTCCAGCTTTCCGCCGCACAAAACCTTGGGAAGGTCTCCACATCGGACACATGCCGGACAGCAGGCGTGTTCTGGATTGGATGCTACAGACGTCTTGACATCTGCCCGTGAGCCCGAGGCCATACAGACCAAACAAACCCCTAGCCTGCCACGCCTGCCTGTCTCTCCACGGCTGCATCGGGAATGATGCTGTCCACCTGCATCCACGCCGATGACCCCCCGGCGGAGGGGTTCAGATGGACTAACCCCCCTGTTGCCGGCTTCTGTATGCTGCTGCTACTTGTTAAGAAGTCTTAAACCCCCCCGCTCTTTGCTGCTCACTACACCAGAACCTCCCTCCCAAACACACTACTTCCCCCCCCCCCCCCCCCCCAATACACAACACAATCCATCACAATCATGACTTCCATCAAGCTGAAGACGCCGCACTCCGGCGAGTATGAGCAGCCAACCGGCCTGTAAGTGGAAATCCCCTTGCCTACCAAGCCCCGCTCCATCGGAAGCCGCACAGCTCTCTACTCGCAGCTCAGTGGGTCTGACCCGCGGCTATCCTGCAGCTTCATCAACAACGAGTTCGTCAAAGGCGTCGACGGCAAGACCTTCGAGGTCATCAACCCCACCGACGAGTCCGTCATCTGCGAAGTGCACGAGGCCACCGAGAAGGACGTCGACATTGCCGTCAGCGCTGCGCGGAAAGCCTTCGAGGGCGACTGGCGCAAGGAGACGCCGGAGAACCGTGGCAGGCTCCTCGTCAAGCTCGCCGACCTCTTCGAGAAGAACCTCGACATCTTGGCTGCTGCCGAGTCGCTAGACAATGGCAAGGCCATCACCATGGCCAAGGGTGATGTTGGCATGTGCGCCAGCACCCTCAGGTACTACGGTGGCTGGGCAGACAAGATCGAGGGCAAGGTCGTTGACACGACCCCGGATACCTTCAACTACATCCGGAAGGAGCCCGTACGTACTTGTCGCTCGCTGTTGTATATATCCAAGACTGACATGTCCCAGATTGGTGTTTGCGGTCAGATCATCCCATGGAACTTCCCCCTCCTCATGTGGGCATGGAAGATCGGCCCGGCCGTCGCCTGCGGTAACACTGTCGTCATCAAGACCGCCGAGCAGACTCCTCTCTCCGCCCTCATCGCCGCCGGGCTAGTGAAGGAGGCTGGCTTCCCGCCAGGTGTGATCAACGTTCTCTCCGGCTTCGGTAAGATCGCTGGTGCCGCCATCGCCTCTCACATGGACGTCGACAAGGTCGCCTTCACTGGCTCCACCGTTGTCGGCCGCCAGATCATGAAGATGGCAGCCGGCTCGAACTTGAAGAAGGTGACTCTCGAGCTTGGCGGCAAGAGCCCCAACATCGTCTTCGAGGACGCAGACATCGAAAACGCCATCTCCTGGGTCAACTTTGGCATCTTCTTCAACCACGGCCAGTGCTGCTGCGCCGGTTCGCGCATCTACGTCCAGGAGGGCATCTACGACAAGTTCATCCAGCGATTCAAGGAGCGGGCGTCCCAGAACAAGGTTGGCGACCCATTCGCGCAGGACACTTTCCAGGGCCCGCAGGTATCCCAGGTCCAGTTCGACCGCATCATGAGGTACGTATCAGTCTGGCTTCGCCACCCTCCCTCAACCCCCCCTATACTGACACCCTCACCAGCTACATCGACTCCGGCAAGCAAGCCGGCGCGACCGTCGAGACCGGCGGCAACCGCAAAGGCGACAAGGGCTACTTCATCGAGCCGACCATCTTCTCCAACGTGACCGATGACATGAAGATCGTGCAAGAGGAGATCTTCGGCCCCGTCTGCTCCATCTCCAAGTTCAAGACCAAGGACGAGGCCATCCGCATCGGCAACAACACCACCTATGGCCTCGCCGCCGCCGTCCACACCTCCAACCTCAACACCGCCCTCGAGGTCTCCAACGCCCTCCGCGCCGGCACCGTCTGGGTCAACACCTACAACACCCTGCACCACCAGCTGCCGTTCGGCGGTTACAAGGAGTCGGGTATCGGCCGCGAGCTCGGCGAGGCCGCGCTCGAAAACTATACCCAGACCAAGACGGTCTCGATCCGGTTGGGCGATGCGCTGTTCGGTTAAACGTAAGCGTTCGTGGAAGGAGTGCGTGCGGGGCTCGGTGTTAGGGGGATCCCTGGCCCGGAGTATGATTGGGTAAAATGGGACTTGATGTATATATGAGAATGAAATGTCAATCTTGAACGAACTTGTGTATGCCTGCTCGATTGTCGATGTGATTTGGGTCATATCATGAGTTGTAGCATCGTGAAACTGTGTGGGTGTTTGACACGTCCTGCTCTTTCCGTCTCTACATCCTTCAACGAAAATGATAGTCCACATGCAAACGCCAATGTCAAACTCGAAAAGCCGTCCACGTACTGCTTGCAGATTCAAGGTTCGCCGCATGGTGACGCCGTTCACTCATGATATAACAGATGATCAAAGAAAAGAGTCCACGTTTTTGCCACGGGAACATTCCCGGATAAAGGGTGTTGGCCGTTACAGATCATGTATTATCACGTAAGTCCGCCGTGTCTGGTGAATATCAAACGTCTATCGTGTACCGGCTCGGTCAGCTATTGCGTGCCACTAGGCTTTATAAGAGAACAAGTGGTCGTCTATATCCTGTTAACCCTATTCAAGTAGTCAATTGCTCTAGCGATAAACTCATCAGAGAGAGGCGTTCGCCGTCAGCCATGCAGAGTCGCCATAAGATGGGCAGGAGAGTCACTGGTGTCGTGGCAACGATAACGAGTATTTGCAATCTCTACGAGGCTATCAGAACAATAAGGAACAGAAAGACGCCCCAGCCAGCTATCAAGTTTTTACACAACAGTTACTTATTAATGAGCTGCAGATCCTTCCAACGCTAGTAGATACTTCGTACGTCCGTTACAGTGAGCATGTGTCAGCTTGGCTGACACGTACGTAGCTAAGCTTGCTGTGCTTCCCTTCTGCAACTTGACGTCTATGAGCTTCGGCACGTTGCTGACATGGACGAGTAGTGGTGATATGATAGTTGATGTATATAATGTGGTTCGTGGTATCTGAGGAGTGGTTGCTTTATAGCACTATCGCGTGCGGCCGGTTCTTCAGTGTGAGCGGTGGCGGCACAAGACAGCCAGGGCTGTCGGAACATCGGGCTCCCGAAACAAAATCCAGAAAGCCGACCGCAATGCTGTACATCAGGGACGGGCTCACAAGGCGTAGGGGTTGAGTGAGCGAATGGTGAGGCAGCTGTACAATAACTATTAGCATATCAACATCATGTCTCAGTCAGATGAACTCACGGTGGGCTCTTTGTAAGATCAGTCTTGAGGATGACTGGGATCCTGGTCATCTCTCGAACATCCTGGATGTAGTCGCCGTTCTCCTCGCGCAACGAGAAGAGGCTGAAGTACTTCTCCTTGTTGCTGAGCTTGGCCTCAGACACGTCGCTCGCACTCTGCCCGAGCTTGGAGTCTGACTTGGTACGGTGCGGCGTCTGGCCAGAAGATGGGCCATTCCTCGTTGGCGAAGGCGGCATGCTTTGAGTCGGACGGTCGGCACCCGCGAGAGATACACCGGCTGTCATCTCTGTGATCTCCGAAGCATCGTCGTCATCGTCATCGAAGAGAGCGTCAACGTCGTCGGTGGACATGGTGCCCGTCTCCATTTGCCTTCTTCGCGCGTCTTCGCTTTCCTTCGCACGCTGCTTGGCGGCGTCGGCTTCCCGAGCGGCAGCAGCAGCATTGGCGCGGCCTGATCCAGCTTTCGGTCGTTCGTCCTCTGGAACGTACGTTGATGACGGAACGCCCTTCTCCCAGTACAACTCAAGGAGACGCTTGTTCTTGTCGAACTCAGCTTTCTTGAGCGGTAGCTGATCGCAGTGAACGCGTTTCTCGAAGCCGAACTCCGGGATCAAGATGTCAAAGGCGGACTCATATACGCACAGGACGATGCCTACGCTGATGAGGTCGCCTCCGAGTTCTTCGCGCTTCTTATCCATCTTGCGGCATGCTTCGATATGCACACTCTGCTCTTGGGCGCTGTGGGCGGAATCCTTCTTCGTGTTGCACATTTCAGCAGTCTTGGCCAGAGCTTCGATGTCTTCCGTAAATTCTAAGGCTCCATTGGAGAGGACAGCCTCAAGTTGACGGTGGACAACGATGTCCGCGTACCGCCTTGAAGGGTTGGTGAAGTGCGTGTAAAGCGGGAGATTTAGTGCGTAGTGAGAGAAAGAATCTTCCGGTATCTTTCCGGCCACAAAGTACTTAGCACGCTGCATTGCCTTCACAAGTAGCGTCTCCATGCCCTTTCTAAACTCTGCATCTTCCACGTCGAAGAGGCTGTTTTGCAGGCTTCCACTGCTGGTGATATCAATCTCATAACCGATGTTGGTCATCCGTTCGGCGAAGGTTTGCAAGCGGCGGGGGTTCGGAGAAGCTTGTCGTCTGAGGAGGGCCTTGTCCGGAATACCTGCATGGATCGTTCGCGCAACAAAAGCGTTAGCCAAATGGCTGAGCTCTTCGATGAGCTCATGAGCAGGGGATGAGTCGAAGATGTTCTGCTCCACGGGGACATTCTCGTCGTCCAGCTGGTATAGCAATCGCAGAGGTGGTATGTCTGCAGAGCGACCACCGAATCGCGCCTGGCGGAACTTCTGGGTGATTTGGTGGAGCATCTGGATGTCCTTCTCCCGTGCTTCTCCGAGTCCAGAGTCGCGACCGTTTATAACGGAGTCAACCTCATCATACGAAAGTTTCCCAGAGCTCTTGATCAAGCCTTTGCCGATCCAGGTATCGTCAGGATCCACGTAGCCGGATGCAGCGTCAACCTTGAAGACGATGCTGATGGTGTACCGTTCTTCATCTGGATTCAGGCAGCAGATCTCCGTTGATAGCCTAGGCGGAAGCATATTGACTGTACGGTTCATAAGATAGACCGCAGTCCCGCGCTTCTTCGCCTCTCGATCGACAAGGGAGCCGGCCTTGATGAAGTGTGCGACATCGGCGACATGAATGCCGATTTCGATCAATCCATCGTCAAGTGTCTTGAAGTGGATAGCATCATCAAGCTCCTTGCTGCCATTGGGGTCAATAGTGAAGGTTTTCTCATCGCGGAAATCTCGGCGACCCTCAAGAGCAGCTTCCCCATCATTCGCGACAGACCAATCCTCAAATCCGATGTTCTTCATCACAGCATCGGAGAAGTCGTCCGGGCCGAAGTTGTTGTCGCGAAGAAGGGCGTCGGTCTCGACTCGGAGATCGCCCATCTCGCCCAGCTGCTCAACGAGAGTGCCGAACGGATGTAACGAGGTGATGGGCCATCGCTTGATACAGGCAACGAAGATACGGTTGGCGTAGTCTTGATGTCGCTCGACGAAGTCACGAGGAGCTTGCTCGGTGGGGATAGCAATCAGGGGAACCCGCTTGTCAGTCGGCTTGAACCAGACGATCTTCGGCTTGTCTTGCTGACGGTCTTGTTGCGGGCGACCAGAGTTACCCTCACGCGCTTGACGCTCCGCTTCTTGCTTCTCTTTGGTGGCCTGGCTACTGGGCCGCAGCAAGCCGAGCGTACTGTGATATGGTTAGCAAAGTTCAAGTTGAAAGAGGAGTTCAACTGACCCGGAGAACATCTGCCCAGCAACACGCTCAATGACCGCAACGATATGGCCAGCATATAGCGGCTTCTGTTCGTCATTTATTTCCTCTTCCTCCATGAGCAGCAAGCTCTGCCCTTCAACTTCTACATCATCATTCTTCTTCTGGGTTGGACGCTGTCTGAGACTGCCCCGACGCCTAAGACCACCTTCAGTGCCTGATTGGCTGGTCTCCGGCTGCGTTGTTGCATCGTTCACAGCGATGCTGCTGCCCCTGGCGTCGGTGTTGTCCTTGCGCTTCTTTTTCTCTTCCTTCTCCCGCTTCTGACCCCACACCTCGTCGACGTCAAGCAGCTCCACAGCAACAAGGTCGCCTTCAAGGGCGCGATTTCTGTCTTTGCTGCCGCAGATGAAGATGTCCGCATCAAGATCGGTAGTGGTGACGTAAGCGTCGCTTCGGTTCTTCTTGTTGACTCGGAGAATACCCGCAACGAGTTGGCCGTCGCTGAGCAGAGCGGGTAAAGTCGCTTGCGGAAGATAAGGAGTGAATAGCGTTTTCCGCTGTTGTTGCTGCTGTTGCTGCATCTGCATGGCACCTGGCGCATGCTGACTGGCCTGGAGCCCAGCCATACCCTGCCCGTTGAGCTGAGCGGCCTGCAAAGCTTGAAGATGGGCAATCTGAAGAGGGTTCAAGGTCTGCGCACCGAACATTCCGGGTTGGACAAGAACCGGGCCTTGAGGAGTCTGCACCAGCTGAGGCTGAGCAGGATATTGAAAGTTACCGAGTGAGCCGACAGACTGGTTCATGGAGCCACGCTGCCGATGGCCCGGCTGGAATGGAGCGGCTCCAGCATTTGCGTTCATGTTGAAGTTGCCCATGTTAGTTGCCTGCTGCTCTTGCAAGGCCTGCGGGTTGTTGTTGGGTTGCCTCCAGTTGCCATCGAAATTACGGGACGATGTCCTGCCATGGCCCTGGCTGCCGCGTCGGACGAATTCGGATTGGCCACTGTTGTTGTTATTGTTGTTGCCGTTGTTGGTGTTGTTGTTATTGATAGCGCCTGCATCAGTGGTAGCTTGCGGAGGCGGGAACTGGAAGCTGCCCATGCCGCGGCTCTGACCGCCCCGAATATTGCCAACAGCCATGCTCTGACTGCGACCGTGTCCTCCCCGGGCCGCAGTACGGGTGTTGGCGCCCATATCTGAGGATGGAGCAGCACTAACATTGGCCGGGCTCCCAGACCGATTCGTAGATGCGGTGGTGCTGCCAGCAGCGCCAGGTAGCGGAAACTGGAATCCCGACGTCTTCCTCTTCTGCTCCGCAACCTCGGCTGCCTTCTTTGCTTCGTCTAACGCTAGAGAATGGCGTCGAGTATGGCCACTGCCTGCTGCGCCACCCCCGCGCCCCCGAGGGTTGACATTTTCTCGGCCTTGTGTGCTGTATTCGCCGAATCCGGAAGCACCCGATGAAGGGGCTGGCGGGGGTCCCATGCCCATATTCGGCAAAGCTGATTGGTTGCGACGATGTGTCGAGGGTTGCGTAGGTGGGTTCATGCCCACCCCTAGATGCTGCTGCTGAAGCTGTTGTGGAAACTGAAAAGTATTTGCATGCGGAGACATATTGGTCATTTGTCCTTGTATGGGGCTAAAAACATTAGAGCCTGGGAGGTGTTGCTGTGGTTGAATCATGCCAAGGTTGACATATTGCTGGTGGGTAGCGGCAATCTGCTGTTGCTGCTGTTGAAGAGCCTCGATCTGTGAAGCAAGAGCAAGTTGTTCCACTGTGGTCATGTCTGTCAGCAACTGTTTGGGCAAAGACTCTCAGAAGGGCGTGAAGGAGATAGCCCTTACTCATTAGTGGTGTCAGCTCTGACGGACTCCGCCTATGCGCTATGTGGAGCCTGCGGCCTGCAGGTCCGGTTGCAGTGGGGTGTCCCTGTTGATCCATGTTTGATGACCGAACGTAAGGTTTGTTCGAGTTGTGCTGCAGCGTGTCCAGGACCGAGAGGCTGACAGAGTTCGTCTGTGCGAAGGAAGAACTGTGTATCGGTAGAAATTCGAGTATTCAAGACGCAGACGTAAACCCTGAGACTGTCAGAATGTTGTGACTTCTCCTTGGTAGTGCGACTTACCAAAGAAGCCTTTGACGGGTCGACCAGGCGTGTCTGCTAGAGCGAACAGCTGCTTTGAAGAGCACCGACGTCAGGGGATCAAAGTCGCCGTTGCGAGGTAAGTTCGATGAGCGTGTTCCGGTGGTAATTCTGCGTCTCGAAGACGAAGATAGCCTCGAGCGGAAACGATTTGATCAAGACTTGCTTTGTTCGAGTGACGGACAGTGAAGAACTGATGGTGGTGGAGAGTTGGCAAGATAAGCTGCTGCGAAGGTCAAGGAGCGGGTGACGTTGCTTCCCCGAGCGTCAACGGGTGGTCGAAAAACACAGAAGTGGTGAGTGACACTGGGTCGGAAACAGAGAGCGATGGGAAGGAGGGAAGGTGAATAACAACAGGCCAATGCGGTCGATCCGGGTAAAGGAAGGTGTTGGTGAAGGGGTAGGGCAGTGAGGAGGGTGCAGATGCCCAGATGCCCAGTTGCTTTGCTGGTGTGGAGTTCGCCGTCTCCGCTTGCGGCGAGGGCACGGACAAACCACCAGAGACCAAGACCTCGTCACAATCGCCTTGTTTGCGACGACAGCGAGGCAGCCACGGTTAAGTATCACCATCATCACAGAGCACTACACCTCTGTGTGGCGTGTAGCTGTTTGAGGTCCACGGCTCAGTTCTCAGCGGCCATCAAGACCTTGAGCGGAGCAATCTAAGTTACAGGCGGTGTTTACTCCGGGTATGAGTATAGTGTGTCTCACAAACGTCTGGACCTTATGAAGCTATGCTGCCTGAACGCTGTCCTCGACTGTCTTCACAACCAGACTCCTAGAGTGGGGATTGCTGTGAAGAATCAGACCGCACCCTGTCACACGGGATGTCTGCCCAGTTATCACCTTCAAGCCATTCTTCAAGTTCAGATGATGGACACATTCGCGCCACACGATGAGCACTATCGCAAGCCCGGTCAACAAGACTTCGTATCGTAGTGGCGTTGACAGGCCCCTTCGACCAACTCGCAAAGTGGATATATTGCAGATCTTCCGCTTGGGGGCGAGCACTTCACCTGTTATCCACACGACTGACTGCCACGAGAGTATCGTAAAGGACTTGTACGAACCAGACGGGGCAGTGCATTAGCTCGAGCGCTATTGATAATTCGTACAGAAAGAAGGAAACGGCAAGAGCGGTGTTTTGGAGGAGGATAAGGAAGACCAATAATCGGATTGCTCTTGGGCAAAGAGACAAAGCGGCGGGGGTTGGTAGAGCATGAGGACTGGTCGCGCACGAAGCACGCTGGTTAGGATGGTGAGGATGGACTCGAGAGCAAGACCAAACTGCTGACGCATCGCCTTGCTCAAGACTCAACGTCCCTGACCCTCGGGAGCTGTGCGCCTCCCTCCTCTCGCTTACCTGCAGTTCGGATGTGAGTTGTGATGTGAGTTGTGATGTGAGTTGTGATGTGAGTGGTGACATTCCCCGGTCGACTTGGATAGAGAGTCACGTGGCAGCGGAGCCACTTCGCGCCAAGCCTTCCGCCCGCGTGTCCGGCCGCGGAACTTGAACCTTTCGTAACCACCGGCCCGGCATTGAGATGACTGCAAGTACGCGCTTGCGAAAACTGAGCCACCCGCGCCATTGTCCGCGAAGGCTACAGGCCTCGGCGAGAAATCACCTGGTTGAGAGACGGACAGCCCACATGAAGCGGGCATTGTCACCACGACCTGTCGGTCTTTGTTGCGCTCCTTTGGGAAAATCCATTGTCAGTCTAACAGCCTACCACAGACATGCATACAGCTAACTGACAGAGACAGACCTCGTCACCGACACGCAATGGCATCTTCGTCTCCCAATGGCTTAGACACTCCAGCAAAACAACCATACCGCGAAGCACGCCGCAGCCGAAGCTCTCGAGGTGACGAGCCCGCCGACAGTCCCTCAAGACAGCTACACCGCGAATTCAGCCAGTTGTACCTCGACTCTGACCGGAGTTTCCTCGCGCGCCTCGATGAAGCTGCAGAAGAGCGCGCAAAAGAACATGTCGAGGCGCTCGAGTATAGCAAAGCGCAACACGAGCGCGTAAGGCAAACCGCGGACATTGCCCGACTACGATTCGAACTCGAGCACGAGAAAGAACGGCAGAAGCGCGAAGACGATGAGCGGAGAGCGCTGGAGCGCGAGCGCCGGGAGCTCGCGGAGCAAGAGACAGCGGAGCGGCAGCGGCAGAGGGAGGCGCTGGAGCGGATTGAGGCAGAGCGACAGAGAGCGGCCGAAGAGGCCAAAGCAGTCGCTGAGGCTGAAGCGAGGTTGAGAGTGCAGCAAGAGAGACAGGCTGCGGAGAAGTCAAGGCGAGAAGCAGACCAAGCAGAGTCTGATCGGAAAGCACGGGAAGCTGCAGAAGCCGCTGAGAGGACAAGTCGAGAAGAGAAGCCCCGAGTGGTGCCGCCACCGACAACGATGGCGATGACTGCCGTTTCCCAATCTGCACCTAGCCAGCCCCAGTTGGCCGGAGCCAGCAGCTGGGCCTCTGATATCTCCCACCTAGTGTCTCCACTTGCGCAGAAAGAGGCCATTCATCAGCAATATCTCGAGCTGCATAAGCGCCTAAAAGACTTCCGCAGGTGGATGAAGGGTCTAAGAGTACAGTACCCTACGCTCAAAGAGAAGATGGGGCCACACAGACGCGAGATGAAAAACCAAATATCTAAACTGACAAGGGTCCGGGGTGCCAACACGAAGCCGGTGAGTTTGTGATGTCTCGATCCATCCAATTCGGCGCTGATATCGAACTTACAGCTCAGTGCAATCCGTGCAATCTTCCAAGATGCTCTCAACTACCGAGAAGGCCCTACCATCGACGCTCGCCTCTATTTCGTAACACCACTTCCCGTAGCCTCCGAGGCGGAGGCTCAAGTGCCAGCCCTCCTGCTATTTCTAATGAACTCCTTTGCGAAGCTAATATTCGCCCAATTTATCGACGAAGGCGGCACCGGCCGCGAAGTCGACCACGTAGGCCTCTGCGCCGGCCAAATCTTTGCGCAAAACGAACACCGCTTCCACGGCGTCCCCTTCACCGACCTCCTTCTGTGCAAGTTCCACGTCTTCTGCCCCGTTCTGTTCGGCATCTACGGTGACCCAAAAACCGATGCCGGAAAGCGACGCATTGGTTGGCGGTGGGATAGCGACGAGGGGCAGTGGGTCGACACCAAGAAGCACAGCGAGCGCATGACTGGGCTTGGCGCGGGCTTTGCCTCGATTTCGCTGCGTGACTTCTCCAAGGCGAAGAATTTTAAGACATTCTACCCGAACTCGAATTACTGGCGTGCTCTGTCCAATATCGTCAACACGCGGCCGCGGGATGTTACCGACACACATTACCTGGTGCTGAAGTCGCTCACGGAGAGGTTTGCGGCCAAGTTCATCCAGTTCTATGGTCATGCTGCGATTGTTGCGCTGAGGAAGGCGCTTCTGGAGTTTCCAAAACACAAGAAGAGTGTCGCTAGTGATGCGTTAGGTACGGTAGTGGAGGCGATTAAGAGGGATTTTCACATTACGCTCTAACCGCGCCGCTCGGAGTCCTGGAGTTTTGGAGTTTGTAGGGAAAATCGGGCACTAAAGATGGTCATGGTCGGCGTCTCTTTTAGATTCAGCACCGCGGCGGAAAAAATGCTGGAAAATATTAGAACCGCGCTCCACAGATAGCAGGTAGAAGCAGGTGATGGGAGCAAAGCTGATGCCTCCACCATAGTTGTGCTGGATATTATGCCGCTTAGTTCGGAAAGCACTTCTTGAACGTACACCCCTCCGGACTCCTCAAATTAATTCAGAATCTCGCTCAGCGCAACCTCGATAACATGGTCTCCATGCTCTACGTGTGCGGATGATGTCTCCTACTTGGAGCACTGCACCTTAGCTTGCGCTTCTGTTGTGGTGAAACAGGCAGGAGCTGTATAAGTGCATTCATGTTCTTCATTGCTTCGTTGTGTATAGCGTGTCCTCTCTTAATACTAACCCGAGTGTGAAGCTTTCTCTCCTCCGGTCTCGCTAGAACACCAGTCGTATATCACATGGCTTACTCGTATACCATACCATATCCAAGCCTCCATCCAGCCTGCGGACTCCGGGCTACCGCGGCTCGTAGATGCGCCAGCGCCACCAGCCAATCCAAACCAGTGGGCCAGCTCCATTTCTAAACCCTCTCATGAGGCTTCACCGGATCCGCAAACGGCGTAACCGCAATATCATCCGCATCAAAGCTGGGCTTCCTATCCCTTACATCTACATCCTTCCCCAGACTCCCGAACCTGTTCTCCTCTTTCGTCCTCAGCTCCCAGCTTCCGACCCTCTCCTTTCCCGCGGGGCTCGGTGTTACCGTAATCCCCGCGCCCCCCTTCGGCAGCGTAAGATCAGCATCGCTCGCCAGTTTCCGCGAACCCTTGAATCCACCCAACTCGCTCTTCTTGCTGCGACCCACACGGCGAAAGCGGACGCCGGCGAACAGCATCGCGGCCGCGACGGCCAGACCGAGCACGCCGAGCGTAACAGCCGCACCAATCACTCCCGCGACCTGCGGCGTCATGCCGGCCTCGCGTGATCGCCGTCCGCTGCCGGCGGGCAACGCATCGGTATCCTCATTGTAGGCCGGACACCAGATGCTGTAGGCGCCGCACTCCTCGCACCAGTCACCAGCGCTGCTAATCTGGATACGCAGCATCTCTTCCAGGAAGGTCTCGAACGGGATGTCCGTCTCGCTCAGGCCGCGGCCAAACAGCGGATAAGCGCGCATCTCCGCATCGTCGGCCGTGCCGTTACGGAACCAGAAGCGGATCCAGAGGTCCTCTGGGTCAGGAAACGCGCCGTCGCCGGCATAGGAGAAGAGCTCGAAGACGGCCGAAGAGCCCCACTGTGGCAGCCCCGCGAAGTCGGAGCGGTGCATGTTCAGCTTGCTGAGCGCGAAGAAGGAGAGCAGCGGCTGGAACTCGCCGAACATGAGCGAGAGGATAGGCCCGTTGCCCTTTTTGGTGACCACGTTGTTCAGCAAGCCGAGCACTTTGGCTGCGAGTGTCTTGCCCGCTATGGCACGGATTTGGTCGCCGGGCGTCACGGCGCTGGCGGAGAGGTTTCCGTAGAGTGCCCAGAGGTGCTTATCGGCTAGGAGGCGGAGTTGGCGGAAGGCGCCTGCCATAGAGGCGTTCGTGGCGCCGGTTAGGATGTCGTAGGTGCGTTTGTCGTGGTTGAATTGGTAGCTGAGGAAGTCGTAGATGGGGTATGCATTGCCGTAGTTCCATGAGTTGTCAGGGAATAAGGTCTGAGGCAAGGCGGCTTCTCCGACGCGCTCATATAGGCTGCCAGAGGCCATCTGCATCGCCTTGAATTCGGGGCTGGTGTAGTAATCGGCGCCGCTGACGGCGTGGTTGACGCATGCGGAAGATCCGGAGAGGTAAATTGAGTTCGGGTCCAGGATGCCGGCGCTGCGTATTTTGGGATATTGATAACCGCCCATGGGATACTCCAGGTAAGTGCTATTTGAGAGGATGGATGAGGAGTCGAGCATGTTCGCAGTACTCATGTTGACCGTAACAGGTGGGTAAAGTGCTTGCAGGAATGCTTCCGCGGACGCGATGGTATACTGCTCCTCTGTGGCTGCGATGTAGAGCTCCCCGTTGTCTATGATGTACGGCGACAACCCCTTGATGTGCGCACTGCTAAGATTGTCACCATCGCCGGTTATATAGTGCTTTCGCAGAGCCTCGCCGGCAGTGAAAGCTTGATGCGCGCCTAGAGATGTTATCTGGGATCTCTCATTGTTGTTCAGCCAGGGCGTGCGCTCTCCCGTCCGCGTGAATACAACAGCGGCATGGACGGTATATGTCGAGCGCCTCGAATTGGCGCCGGTTGCGTCCTGCGCGGCAGTCAACCACGCCGCAGCGAGTAGAGCAATGAACAGAGCCAACATGACTGAACGAATGGGTAGCTATACAGTCCGGCTGGAAGCTGAAGGAGGCTGAGGAGCGAGGGAGAAGACGGCACGAAACGGGACGGTAAATGGGCAGTTAAATGGGAGCTTGACGCGGACTTGGCCTGCCCGCCTAACTTGCATACTCTACCACTTGGAGCCCACACAAGGCTGGCAAGTCTTATCGCATCGTGCAGGCGATGTGTGCGCCTCACGAGGGCGCCATGCCGCTTGAGGAGCTGGGGTGGTGCCAGATCATGGACTGGGGGGGCTTGGGGGAGCTTGTGGGAGCTTGGGAGAGCTGAGGGCTTCGGCGGGGTAGCTGCATGCAGTGTGACGACACCAACGCAGCCCTTCCGTGTCGCCCGCTCCCGTCTGCGACCATGTCTCTGCTTAGCGTACCACGTGAGTGCCTACCTGGGTAACACACTCGCCTTCTGTGTCCCTTGATCCATCGTCTTTTGCGAAGAAGCCAGGCCTGTAGCTGTTGCGGCATTCTAAACACTAACGTTTTAGCTATTATCTACTTAATTCTAATAACTAATCATCTTATTATTTTAGATTAAAGATAACTTTATTTTAGAAAAGAGATTTTGGCGCTTAGAATTACTTAAAGTACTTAGAGCCTTTAAGTAACTATATCTACTTATAAGTAGCTTATAAGTATATTAAAATACTTAAGATACTAAAAATATCTAAAATATCTAAAATATCTAAAATATCTAGAAGTATAGCTTAGTAGAGCTTAGTAGAGCTTAGTATACTTAGTTAGTAATAGAAAAACTGAAAAAAGCTTAGAGTTTCAGTTAACTAGTAGAATAGAGAAAGAATATAATAGAGTTAATTTAGAGAGTAAATTTTTAATTGAATTAATACTAAAAAGATAAGATCAGATAGACTAAGAATACTAGTAGATATAACTTATAGTTTTTTAATAGTATAAGCTACTATTTTCTAAAATAAACTAGAGTAGAATACTTTATTCTATATCTACTAAACCTATTTTAGGCTTTTTTAATAGAGCTACTTATAAGTAATTCTATATAGCTCTTTAGATATATCCATCTACTATATCTAGTTATACTATATTATAACTATATTAGCTATAGGCTATTCTATAAGAGTTTATACTAAAAGCTTTTTTCTTTAAGAATATACATTCTAAATATTAGAATATAATCTATTTTAGGCTAAATTAATCTAGAAACCTATAAGTTTAGCTCTAGCTATTATTATACTCTAAGATTTTAGAATTTTAGATATTTTATTTAAAACTACTTACTAATTTATACTAGTACTACTAGTACAGTTTTTAATATTCTTACTTTTAAGCTTTATTTTTCTTTTAAATATTACGAACTAGCGCTTAGTATAGAGTTTATCTAGAGCTAGTAGAATTACTAAGCCTATTACTATTATCTATATTATCCCTAATAATAGTAAATAATAGGAATAATAGAGAATACTAGTACTACTATCTATATTATCTTTAAACAGAGTAGATAATAGGGATAATAGGAACTCTAGATATTATCTAAGCATATAGATAGCTAATTTTTTACTATAATATAGATTAGAATTATACTTCACTTAATATAAGAATAATATTCTTATAATATATTCAATTGTTATTTTATAATATTAGTCTATTACTATATCTTATTCTATCCTCTAACTTCTTAATTAGAGTTATACTACTTTATAGTAGTAGATATTGTTATCTAGAGAGAGTACTTATTATATTTTAAGTACTATCTTTAAAGGAATACTTAAGAATAATATATTAATATATTTACTATAGAATCTATTACTAGATAATAGAGAAACTAGACTTTAAGAGCCTTTTCTAACTGTAAGTCTATTAAGATTAAGATTCTAGATAAATACTATAGAGCTAGAAAAGAATTAGAACTCTTTTTACTTTAGTATAATTTATATATATTACGGGTCTAGGCTATAGTAAAGTGGCATAAATAGTGAGAGCTAACTAAGAATACATATATAGTTAGTTGCATCGCCTTAATATAATACTTAGTTAATTAATTATATATCTATAACTATTTAGAGATATCTAAAACTAATCATAATATATAGTAGCTAAAAGTATACTATAGAATTTGACAATTTAATTAACTCTACTAGCTATTATTATATAGTACTAAAGAAAAACCTCCGTACTATACTTAGTAAGCTAACTAAAGTGTTATACTAACTCTACTAAACTAGTACCTCTTATAGTTATACTAACTAGTAGCGCTCTCTATAGTTATACTAATAAGATATTAACCTAGTTTTGATTTATTCTAATACTTACTAGCTACTATATAATTTGCTGTACAACTATTACAACCTTAATTAACTAATAGTTTTAGGCCTTTCTAATTTAGCCTTATCTACTAGACTCTATTTAAAAAGTAACTATAGTTTAATTTACTAATTAATAACTAAGCTAGAGACTAGGCTCTTTTTAGCTAATTAATATACTAAATTTACTTATTTTACTACTAATTTACCTATACTCCCTCTCTTTCTTTTCTTTTTCTCTTTTCTCTCACTTTCTCTTAACTCCTGCCTTTACTTTTATCTCCTTTTATACTTTAAGTATTACCTTATAATTGTTTTAAATTAATAGAACTCTATTAACCTACTAAGTCTTTAAGCTAGCTACTTTAATAGAGATTCTTCTAAATCTATCTATAGCTACTATTAGAACTATATACTATATTTAAGTCTTTATAAAAAAGGCACTAAGCTACAAGTCTATTATTATAAAAGAAAAAGTTAGTGAGCTTTAAGGCTTTATTTTTAACTACCTTTCCTTCTCTCTAATATTTAATAAAGCTATCTAAGAATAGGCTAGAGAACTAAGCTACCTAATTAACTAGATAATTAATATTAGTAGTAAATACTTTATGAATCTTACCCCCTATTAGTTCTAAAAAGATATCTAATTTACTGAAGAGTTCTCTTTTTACTTAGCCTAGAAGTAAAATAATAGACTAACCTCTAGGGAAATATCTAAAAGATAGTAGCTAGTTAAAACTAATAGTAGTTCTATATAATATACTATTATCTCTTAATAACAATAGCAGTACTAGGCTATAGTATGTTTCTAATTAGAGAGTTAGAGAACAGGGTACAATATAAAAATAGATTAATATTACTAAGATAATAATTAAATATATCATAAGAATATAGGATTCTTATATTAAGTTAAGTATACTATTCTAAGAAATAAAAATAGTACTACTTACATATTATAGCGCTAAATAGATATCTCTATACTATACTTAGTCTACTTAGTATACTTAGTTACTAAGTATAATAAGTAGATTAATTACCTCTTAGTAGTACTCTAGTACTTAGTTCCCTTATAATCTCTTAGTACTAAGTACTTAGTAGTATACTATACTTCTATTTATAATACTATCTTCTCTTCCTTTAACTTTTATTTTTAAAAGATATATATTATCTTTACTATACCTAATAGAATTACTAAAAAATTAAAAGCTAAATACTTCTTAACTAAGTACTATTAAGATTTAGTATTCTATCTTTATACTACTAGATCTATTATACCTACTCTTTATAGCTTTTACTACAATTAGTTATTTTATTACTATATTAATACTTATTCTAGTTTTCATACTAAATATATTTCTTTAAGCGCTAACTATAACCTTATAGTTACTTATAAGGAGTAGGAGTAGCTATATACTTAGAGTAAAAAGATTTATTATTACCTCTATAAGGCTAATATAGTAATTACTAAAGTATATTACTATTAGGTCTAGCTTAAATAGAAGCTAGCTATCTAAAAGAACTCGTTTTTAAAGGCTATTTCCTATAAGTTAGCTTCTATTAAAGAGGTTAAGTATCTTAAGTAACTTAAGTAAAGGTAACTAAGTTCTTCTTTAGATTTACTAATAAAGTTTCTAGATTCTATTTTAGTTTTTTTAGATATTTTTACTATATTTCCTTTGTTCTAGAGTACGTTGAATAGTTTTTCTTTTAAGCTTTTTTTTATTTCTATAGAGTTCTTAATCTCTTAAGATACTTCTATACAGCCTCTTTACTTCTATTAAGATTAATATATAGCTTTTATATATTTTCTAAGTCTAAGTAGCCTTTCTATTTTATAAGATATTATTATTTATTATTTTTAAACTTAGTATTAATGTCTAGAATTCTCTATACTTTATATTACTCTTTTTATTCTATTAGGTAGTTGTTTAGTACCCTAGCTAACACTAGTACTTAAAAAAGTACTAGCTCTAATAGTCAAATATAAGATACTAGATATATCTTTATTTCGTTTAATAAGTTAAGCTTATAGCTTATATCCTTAATATTTCTGATAATTTTCAAAGGTCCTTCTCTAATATAGTCTAGTTTTCTACTTAGCTTTATTATTTTAATATTTTTTATAAAGAGTAAACCTTATTTCTCTTCTTTAGTATAAATCCTTTAGATTTAAATTAGTTATAGTAAAATACTAACTTTTATAATAGAAATTCAATATCTTTTTAAAGTTTCTAGTATATCTATTATATTTCGTTTATAGTTAGTTTAGCTAATTCTACTAAACTCTAGATGTTCTTAAGTTTATAATATAACTAAATATTATATTTATAGTTCGTATAAAATAGTATTCATTCTATTGTCTTATCTACACTTATACTATATACTAGCTATAGTAGTAGGAATAGTATATCTAGTTTATTTATTAGTAATCTCTATATTCCTATAAGTACTACTCTAATACTTAGTTTATACGCTCTATTTATCTATATATCTATAAATAGCAAGTTATTAAAAGCTTATAAAGTAATCTTAGCTATTTAGTAAGTATAGTCTAAAAGTTAAATATAAATAGCTTATTTCTATTTAGAATAATATTTTTAGATAGATTTTATATTACTATTATATTTTAGAGGAATATACATACTAGTTCTTTATTATTAAATAATTCTTTATAGAGTATATAGTGTACTTTTTTT